ACCCCCTTAAAAAAGTCAATGACTTCCCTCTCTTTGGATAAACACAAAAATCTACATACAAGGCCTTGTCTGATCTAACTCCTGTCTACCTTTCCAGCTTCATCTCACCCCATGATTCCCTCCCCAGCCCTCTGCTCCAGGCACAATGATCTTTTTCAGTTCCCTAACACAAAGCCTTTAAAATGGGCTTGTTCTCTCTATGTGCAAACTCTCCACCAGGGCCTCCTCACTAGTTAACGCGTACTCACCTATCTTAGTGAAAAGCATCACCTAATGAGGAAAGCCTTTCCTACCTCCCCAACCAGATCAAAACCTCCTTTTATGTGCTCATTGTACCGCCATCCGCCTTTGAAGCATTTGTTGCAGTAATCTGATATTTACTTGTATGATTATTTATTACTTGAGTATTAATAAAAGACAAAGGATGCAAGTTCCTTGATGCAGTTTAACAGAGGTTAACTGTACACCAGGAGCTGTCCAAGCTGAAATCAATCCCAGGAGATGCACGACCATCTTTCCCTTTAAGTTCCCATAGAGGTGCCCACCTGTTGATGACATCTCCCAAAGGTTAGGATCTCATCAGGTTCTTTAAGAAGCTGCCTCCGTCAAATTCACAGAGAATATTAATGTATTTGTAGCCTCAATTCCTACTCGTGCCAGGCTGCTCACCAGGTGCAAATGAACACCAACGCATTCTACAGTGCTTATAGCAAGCCGTGTGAAGCCAACAAGTTCTCAGCAGGCCCAGGCTGCCGCCCCCCTCGACCCACTCCTGCCCTCTTCTACTAGCGAGCAGTAAGCTCGAAGGACAAAACCCTGAGTCTGTTTCGATTTTTTCCTTTGCTCCAAACTGTGCCCTTTGTGTCCCGTACACATACAAGACACAGCATTACACAAGCTTTACACAGAAAACCTGGACTTGAATTCCAACTATGTCATCTTATTACAAATGGCTAGACCTGCGAAGCTTAGTTTTCTCGTTTACAAAAGAAAAACAATACTCATTTCAAATAAATATCGCATATAAAGCTTTTAGAACACACTAACTCAACAGGATTAGCCATTTTTAAATTAAAATCCTTCTCTTTGGTAGTTATTCTCCATTAAAGGATCCATCAAAAAGTTATTCACTTGGCTGGCTACGTGAAGGTCCTTTGTATAATAATTTGTATCACTAGGGCAATAAAGACATACTAGGTCCTTCCTATGGTTGACAGTACATGGCTTCTTTCATTCTGTGTGGTAAAACCCTGACGTTTCCATCAAGCATTAGTCCACATTGTAGCACACAAAAGCTTTACATTCTTACATTTTCTTTGGGAGGGCAGGGGATAAGGTAGGGGAAATACAATTAAGACCTGTAAAGCATTTTCAACAGTCTGAAGTCAGCTCTCTGAGAACCCCTTTCAAAAATGCATCTACTGCATCAAGTTTTGGTACTACTCAGAGAAATACTAACTTTGTACTTTTCTAAAGATCACTTAATACATATGGTTTTAACTATTTCTCTAGGCTCTCTAAAATCTCATTTCTTTCTTAAATCTGATCATCAGAAAACAGGCACAGATCATTTCATCTAATTCCTCAATGAATGCCTGTACTAGAATATTAAGTACTTAACTAATAAAGTTTAAAAAATTTTCCCTAGAGATGTTGCTTCTGAGCACCGTGCACACCAGTACACCAGGGGTTGGAAAACCACACTAGGCAAAGAAACTTGCATCAAGATCAGGACTGAAATAGAATTGTAATAGATAAGTATGATATCGGGGGTAGGAGGGAAGTGGATGGGGGGAGGGGGTTTGTTACTTTGTGAGGGGTGTAAAAGATAACTATTGCATTGTTCTGTACACCTGAAACTAATAATAAAAAAAATTTTTTAAAAAAGATTAGCACTGAAATACATTAATGTGGGTGATTTAGCCAGAGAAGTCTGATCACCACATATTACGGAGTCTGGCAAGATGGCTTCTCCCGAGAGCACGCCAAAATATACATATATGACAGCACAAATCCAGAAAGATATCGGGATTACAGAATATGAGCCAAGGCTTATAAATCAGGTGTTGGAGTTTGCCTTCCGATATGTGACCACAATTTTAGATGATGCAAAAATTCATTCAAGCCAAGCTAAGAAAGTTACCGTTGCGGCAGATGGTGTGAGCTTGGCAATCCAGTGTCAGTCCTCCACCAAGAGATTTGCATTAGATATTACAAGGCGAAGAAATCAAACCCCTTTGCCACTGACCCAGTCACATTCAACCCTAGATTGCCACCTGACAGATACTGCTTGACTGCTCCAAACTACAGACTTTAAGTCTCTACAACAGCAGTTCTCAACCTGGGGGTCGCGACCTCTTTGGGGATCGAATGACCCTTTCACAGGGGTCGCCTAAAACCATCGGGGAAACAAAAAGATACTTACATTACGATTCATAACAGTAGCANTAACAGAAAAATTATGTAAAAATGCATCAATTACTAATTTTCACAAAATAAAAATCATAATAATATACATGTTTGTACCCTCTCAAGATAATCATAAAATCAGATCACAATGTACAATAGTACAAAGAAAGCACAAGAGACTAAAGAGTCTACACTAAACCTTCCAGATACTCTGAGAGATCACTTCTTTGAAGAACTCTCTGGCTTAAATGTGTTTATTCATGACTATCCTTAGCCCCTCTGATTTTCTGCATATAAATACAGGGGTTTTAAGTGTAATGCTGTAAGATATTAACTACAAGTCTGAAAGCTAATATTTGGCCATTAAAACACTGCAAAATCATCTAATTATATGAATTTTCTGCTAGCAGTAATTCTCTGTACACAGGAATTTGTTAACTCCAATAGATAATGCTGTTGTTCAAAGACAATTTAAGATAATTGGTGCTCTGGTTATGGCTGATGTTTTTATTGAGAGCAGGAAAACATCACCAAATACTCATAGATTAATACCTAAATAATTAAAAATAAGCACTCGTTCAATATCAATTTTAACACCCTATTAAAGCAGGGCATCTTAGCTTTGGGGACAGGAACCTCTTGGAGACAGATGTCTGTGGTTGAATTTCACAAGGTCCCTAAAGCCAAGAAATTTTGTGCAAAATTTTGTGCATATGTATACTTCTCTAGAGAGGGTCCAACCTTTTCCTGAGATTTTTCAGAGGTATCCGCGAGTCAATACAGGCTCAAACCCAGTGCATCAGAGCAATGGCTAAGTGTCTGTGGCCTCTTTCCATACTTCAAATAGCCTATGTACAGTGAGGCTCAATTATTTTCCATAATGGCCCATTTCCAAATCTATAATAGAATCAGTAAGAAAAAAATCAATACATCATTTTTTATTTAGGAAACTTTTATGAAATAATTTCAAGATTCTGTAAAGTCACTGTGCCAAATAACAGTGCTAAACACATTTTCCACAATGCGGCTATACCTCAAATCTTACCTGCCTAAAAAAAGTAAAGAAAAAGGACTGCTTCAAAGTTTACGGAAGTTTATCAAAATGTTATGTGTTTATCTCTAGGTGGGAAAGTTTGCAGGTGATAGATTTTCATTTTTGTTTTTCCCCATGAACATGTATTAACTCTGTAAAGAGGAAGAAAATATATCATCTGTAAAAATTATGCTGCCTCGAAAATATTAGTGTAGTAGTTTCTTTTGAAAACACAAGAGTTAAATGTATTACTCACCTTAATGGCTTTGATGGCTGCCTTAGTAATTTGGGTCATTTTCGCCTTAGAAATTGGTGGTTTGTAGTCATTCAGGGAATACAACTGATGAAAAAAAAAAAGAAATTTTAAATTCAGCAAAACTAATTGTCTCTAAGCTATTACATGAAATTACCACACATTTCCAATTTCATTTTCTCAATGAAAAAGTGCTGCCTTTCTTTTAAAAATCAAGTTGAATATTATTAGTCGTCAGGGAAATGCAATTCAAAACCGTAACGAGGCTATCACTTCACACTTGCTTACAGTCAAAAAGAATAACAAGTGTTAGTAGGACGTGGAGAAACTGGAACCCTTATCATTGCTAGTGGGAATGTAAAATGATACGGCAGCTTTTCCTCGAAAAATGAAACATAGTAATATATAATATGACTCTACAATTTCACTCCCAGGTATAAATTCCCAAGAAAGCTGAAAGTATATGTTCACATAAAAACTTGTACACAAATGGTCATTGCAACATTATTCATTAAAAAAAAAATCCACTTAAAAAGTAGAAACCACCCAAATGTCTATCAACTGGTAAATATTAAATAAGCAAAATGCGTTATAACCATTCAGGGCAATACAAGCCACGAAAAAGGAAGTACTGATACTTGCTACAGAACAGATGAACCTTTAATGTACTATGCTGTTAAAAAAGCCGTATATAGAAAACCAGATATTATAGGATTACATTTATATGAAATATCCAGAAGAGAGCAATCTATCAATGATCGTCTACAACTGGGGGAGCTGGGGCGAAATGAGAAGTAACTACTAATGAGTACTGTATTTCTTTTTAGGATAATGAAATTATTCTAAAATTGAATGTTGTGATGGTTGGACAACTACTGAATTATACACTTTAAATTGGTTAACTATATATATGGTACGTGAATTATACCTCAATAAAACTTTTTGGGAATCAAGGAATATAATGTTTAGCAATAATCCCCCTTCCAAAAAAACTCTGTTTTGAAAATTTTCATACAAGCTAAGGACAGTAACACTGCTCATGGAGCAAACAAAGGCAAGGCGGGGAATTAGGAAACGAACAACGAAGTTTAAATGAATACTGATTGAAACTTGCATTGTATTCATGTCTTGCTAAGATTTTAACAATAATGCTGTAAGATATTAAATACAAGCCTGGAAACTAAGCTTTGGCCATCACAACACTGCAAAAACAACTTACACAGACTTTAAAAGGAAATTAAAGTGAATTTGTAGGTTAATCAAGTAGGAAGTTAGGGGGTCTTCTACAGCTTTTGCTCCAGCACCCTTATAACCATCACTGAATTCTATTGACTTTTACCCAGTTTTCCCCATATTGGTCTCTTCCTCCTCCAATCACAACTGCAGTCCCAATTACCTTCATTTCTCATACAGAGAACACCTAAATGGGTGTGTTGTGGCATGTTCAAAAACTAATCTGAGCACGTGAACAATACTCACCCCCTTAAAAAAGTCAATGACTTCCCTCTCTTTGGATAAACACAAAAATCTACATACAAGGCCTTGTCTGATCTAACTCCTGTCTACCTTTCCAGCTTCATCTCACCCCATGATTCCCTCCCCAGCCCTCTGCTCCAGGCACAATGATCTTTTTCAGTTCCCTAACACAAAGCCTTTAAAATGGGCTTGTTCTCTCTATGTGCAAACTCTCCACCAGGGCCTCCTCACTAGTTAACGCGTACTCACCTATCTTAGTGAAAAGCATCACCTAATGAGGAAAGCCTTTCCTACCTCCCCAACCAGATCAAAACCTCCTTTTATGTGCTCATTGTACCGCCATCCGCCTTTGAAGCATTTGTTGCAGTAATCTGATATTTACTTGTATGATTATTTATTACTTGAGTATTAATAAAAGACAAAGGATGCAAGTTCCTTGATGCAGTTTAACAGAGGTTAACTGTACACCAGGAGCTGTCCAAGCTGAAATCAATCCCAGGAGATGCACGACCATCTTTCCCTTTAAGTTCCCATAGAGGTGCCCCCCTGTTGATGACATCTCCCAAAGGTTAGGATCTCATCAGGTTCTTTAAGAAGCTGCCTCCGTCAAATTCACAGAGAATATTAATGTATTTGTAGCCTCAATTCCTACTCGTGCCAGGCTGCTCACCAGGTGCAAATGAACACCAACGCATTCTACAGTGCTTATAGCAAGCCGTGTGAAGCCAACAAGTTCTCAGCAGGCCCAGGCTGCCGCCCCCCTCGACCCACTCCTGCCCTCTTCTACTAGCGAGCAGTAAGCTCGAAGGACAAAACCCTGAGTCTGTTTCGATTTTTTCCTTTGCTCCAAACTGTGCCCTTTGTGTCCCGTACACACACAAGACACAGCATTACACAAGCTTTACACAGAAAACCTGGACTTGAATTCCAACTATGTCATCTTATTACAAATGGCTAGACCTGCGAAGCTTAGTTTTCTCGTTTACAAAAGAAAAACAATACTCATTTCAAATAAATATCGCATATAAAGCTTTTAGAACACACTAACTCAACAGGATTAGCCATTTTTAAATTAAAATCCTTCTCTTTGGTAGTTATTCTCCATTAAAGGATCCATCAAAAAGTTATTCACTTGGCTGGCTACGTGAAGGTCCTTTGTATAATAATTTGTATCACTAGGGCAATAAAGACATACTAGGTCCTTCCTATGGTTGACAGTACATGGCTTCTTTCATTCTGTGTGGTAAAACCCTGACGTTTCCATCAAGCATTAGTCCACATTCTAGCACACAAAAGCTTTACATTCTTACATTTTCTTTGGGAGGGCAGGGGATAAGGTAGGGGAAATACAATTAAGACCTGTAAAGCATTTTCAACAGTCTGAAGTCAGCTCTCT